GCGCACCAGATCAACCTCCCACCAGGGTCTCTCGACCGGAGACCTCCCCAGCTCTGTTGTGGACGGGGAAGGTTGGCGATGCTCGGCGTTCCGGGTCTGGGGATCTCGGGCGTTTGTTCGCGACCTGTCTGCGGACAAGCTGTCCCCTCGTGCTTCTCCCTGCGTCTTCCTCGGGTTTCCCCCCGACGCCCCTGGGTGGCAGTTTTAACCACCCCACCTCTCGACGTGTTCTGTCCTCCCAGGACGTCACGTTCGACGAGTCGGTACCCTACTACCGCCTCTTCCCCTACCGCACTCCGTCCCTCCCCCACCCCCGCTCTTCTTGGTACCAGGTCCCCCCCAGTAGTCCCCCTCCCCCTCAGGGTCCTGCCCCTTCAGGTGTGTCTCAGTAGACGCGGTCGAGCCTGTCGAGGTCACTGGTGACTCCGGTGCTGCTGCGGGAGCTGAGCCTGGGGGTGGGAGTCTAGGGGTGCTGAGCCTGGTGGTGCTGAGCCTGGGTGCGAGTCTGGGGGTGCTGGGCCTGGGGGTGCTGAGCCTGGGGGTGCTGTGTCTGGGGGTACTGAGCCTGGGGGTGCTGAGCCTGGGGGTGCTGAGCCTGGAGGTGCCGAGCCTGGAGGTGCTGTGCCTGGGGGTGCTTCGTCTCACGCCGGGAGCCGCTCTCTCCACAGGAGCTGCGTGAGTGGTTTGCCCGGCGCTGGAGGCGTGCCGCTGGTGCTGGTGGTTCTTCGGCTGCGGAGGGCGCTGCTGCCGCACGCTACCTGGCGGTGCTCGTCCTGTGGGTGCTGGAGCTGCTGGTCTGAGGGTTCTCCTGGAGCTGGTCCTGCTGGGGACGTTGGCGCTGAGCCTGCGGTTGGTGGTCCGACTGACGTGCTCTGTCTGCTGCTGATGGAGGTTCTGGAGCTTCTGGTGGTTCTGCGGTGGACGGTGCTGCTGGAGTGGGTGCTCCGGCCGGAGCTGCTGTTCTGTTCCTTCTGTTTCTGGCGTCGCCGCGCGTGTCTCGGACCGTACTTCGTTCCGCTCCTGGAGCAGGTTCTTGGTCTTGCTCCTCCTCCTCCTCCCTTAGAGGGTCCGCAGCCTGTCCGGTCACAGCCACAGCTAGAGCCTGCCTCCCCTTTGCCTGCTCCTTCTCCCTACGCTGGTCCGACTGGAGGCCTTACTGAGCGTCGTGAGCCTACGTCTCGTCCTGCGTCGCCTGTTCGTACTGAGCGCGCTAGTGGTCGCGGGTCGCGTCAGCGTCCTCCTCCTGTCCCTGGCACGCACCGGATGTCACTGCGTCCGTCCACTGCTCCTCTGCGTGCCCCTTTGCCTTCTCCTCCTGCTTCCTCTCTTCCTGCTCTTAGCCGACCCGGAGTCGGACTCTCTTCGTGCTGCCAGTCCTACTGTCACGCGTCTCCTTGCTACTGCTGTCACTGACCCTTCCTTCGAGTCGTCTGCTGCGTCTGCCCTTGTCACTGAGCTTGTCGACTTTGCTGCGCGCTGTCGTCTAGACTACGCTGCTCGTCTTGTCGCTGAGTCTGAGTCCGCCTGTCCTCCGTCCGTCGGGGGTGAGTGGTGCCCTTGGCACGGACGTCCTAGAGGACAGGCAGGAGGAGTTACAGTGTCTAGCCGCTGCTTCACCTCGTCTCGCGTCTGTACTGCTAGCCCCTGAGGGAGACCCGGATGCACTAGACATCCCGACTCCGCTTCTTACGCGGAGGCCGTAGAGGGTCCCTACTCCTCTCAGTTGGCAGGGCAGCTTATGGATGCAGAGATGGCTTCCTGGAAGTCCACAGGCACCTACGTTGACGCGGTTCCCCCTCCTGGGGCGAACATCGTCAGTGGCATGTGGATCTTCAGGGTGAAGCGGCCGCCGGGGCTCGCCGCCTGTCTTCAAGGCGCGTTACGTGGCTCGTGGCTTCAGTCAGCGGCAGGGAGTTGACTACTTTCAGACCTTCTCTCCCCACCCCGAAGATGACCACTCTTCGGGTGCTGCTGCAACATTGCCGCTCAGCGCGACTACGAGCTTCACTCTCTCGACTTCAGCACTGCGTTCCTGCAGGGTAGCCTGCACGAGGAGATCTGGCTGCGCCGTCCGCCTGGCTTCACTGGGACTTTCCCTCCTGGCACCCAGTGGAGCCTCCGACGGCCAGTCTACGGTCTCCGCCAGGCACCGCGTGAGTGGCACGACACACTGAGGACTACGCTTGCGGCTCTTGGGTTTGCTCCTTCTACTGCTGACCCGTCGCTGTTTCTCGCACCGACACTTCCCTGCCGCCGTTCTACATCCTCGTGTACGTCGACGACTTGGTCTTTGCCACAGCGGACACTGCTGGACTCGCCTACGTGAAGTCCGAGCTGCTGAAGAGACACACGTGCACAGACCTGGGTGAACTGCGCAGCTACCTTGGCTTGCAGATCACTCGGACAGAGCACGCCGCACCATTACCCTGACTCAGTCACACATGGTGCAGCAGGTCCTTCAGCGCTTCGGCTTCAAGTACTCCTCGCCTCAGGCCACTCCTCTGCCTACTCGCCACTCACTCTCAGCTCTGCCTTCGGATGAGTCCGTAGAGTCGAGTGGTCCGTATGCAGAGCTTGTTGGCTGCCTCATGTACCTGATGACCTGCACACGACCTGACCTTGCATACCCCTCTGAGCATCCTTGCACGCTATGTTGCTCCTGGGAGACACCGACCAGAGCACATGGCTGCAGCGAAGAGGGTATTGCGCTACCTGTGCAGTACGTCGGGCATGGGGCTAGTGCTTGGAGGGCGGAGTCCAGTGGTCCTTACTGGGCACGCAGACGCTTCTTGGGCTGACGACCAGGCTACGCAGCGGTCGTCACAGGGTTACACCTTCAGCCTTGGTTCCGGCTCTGTCTCGTGGCGGTCTACTAGCTCGTCTCTTCGGTTCTCGGCTCCAGTTGTGAGGCTGAGATCTACGCCGGGGCCATGGCTGCACAGGAGCTTCGCTGGCTCACCTACCTGCTGACTGACCTTGGAGAGCTGCCTCGTTCTCCTCCAGTGCTGTACGTAGACAACAAGGCCATGTTGGCCTTGGTGTCAGAGAGCAGCGCTTGGAGCACAGAACGAAGCACATTGCTCTCCGCTACTTCCTGCTCGTGAGCTGCAGCAGCGTGGTCAGTTGCGCACTTGCTTACGTGGCCTCTGAGGCCAACAACTGCTGAGTGTTCACCAAGGCACTTGCGCCTTGCGACCATCAGCGCTTTTGTACCCCAGCTGGGTCTTGTACCTGTCTTGCCTCACTTGCTCTCTTCTTGACTTTACTTGTACTTTGACATATATATACCTGCTCTTGCTTGTCTAGTTTTATATATATGTCTGTACTCCTGCATGTGAACTGGCCTCTGGCCTTGCTCTTGTGCTCGGACTGTGTGGTGACTTTGTGATCCACCCTGAGCTTGCTTTGCTTTGCTTGACTGGTCTTGTGACCCCTTGTTCTCACCCACTTTGCCTATGGGGGTGTGTCAGATTATTATAGCTGATGCATGTTTGTAGGCTATAGTGGGGTAGCACATATGGGGTACAGTTTGCTAGGGTTGTATTTGTACCCAACTCTGACTTAGTCAATTCATTCCTGTTCATTCCTTCACAGATGAATATATTTCCTACTTTCTATTTGAGTGAGACCACTTGATTCCGTGTACTATGCGATTCTGGGCGCTTCGTTCTCCCTGGTATTTGCTTTTAAGTTCCGATACTGTTCGAACCTGGCCATGCACCATTTTCTCGATACATGTGCGTTGAATACATTTCAAACCTTTTTTAGCTGACTAGATTTATATATTTCCCACCTTCTGTTGAGTGATACCGTTAGATTCCCTCTACTTTTTGAGAACGAGCGTTTTCCGTTCTCCCTGGCCCCACCTGCACTATGAGTGCGAAATGCCGGCCAGACTGGCCGATCCCATTTTTCTCTACACATGTGCGTTAGTTACCTTTCAAACCCTTACGTTCACTAGATGAATTTATTTCCTACCTTCTATGTGAGTGAGACCACTAGATTCCGTGTACTATGCGAGATCTGAGCGCTTCTGTTCTCCCTGGCATTTGCACTCTAAGTTCCCATACTGACCGACCTGGCCAATGCACCAATTTTCTCCATATACATATGCATTAGATTCATTTCGAACCTTATTAGCTCACTAGATTTATATATTTCCCACCTTCTGATCGAGTGAGACCGCTAGATTCCCTCTACGTTTGAGAAATGAGCGTTTCCATTCTCCTTGGCCCTACTTGCTACTATAAGTGCGAAATGCCGGCCAGACTGGCCGATGCACCATTTTCTCTACACATGTGCGTTAGTTACCTTTCAAACCCTTACGTTCACTAGATGAAATATTTCCTACCTTTCTATTTGAGTGAGACCACTTAGATTCCGTGTACTATGCGAGATCTGAGCGCTTCCGTTCTCCCTGCATTTGCACTTCTAAGTTCCGATACTGACCGACCTGGCCAATGCACCACTTTTCTCCTATACATGTGCATTAGATACTTTCGAAACCTTCTTTAGCTGCACTAGATTATATATTTCCCACCTTCTGATCGATGTGAGACCGTTAGATTCCCTCTACTTTTTGAGAAACGAGCGTTTCCGTTCTCCCTTGGCCCCACCTGCACTATGAGTGCGAATGCCGGCCAGACTGGCCGATGCACCATTTTCTCTACACATGTGCGTTAGTTACCTTTCAAACCCGTACGTTCACTAGATGAATTATATGTCCTACCTACTACTTTGAGTGAGACCACTAGATTCCGTGTACTATGCGAGATCTGAGCGCTTCCGTTCTCCCTGGCATTTGCACTCTAAGTTCCCATACTGACCGACCTGGCCAATGCACCATTCTCCATTATACATATGCATTAGATTCCTTTCGAACATTATTAGCTCACTAGAGTTATATATTTCCCACCTTCTGATCGAGTGAGACCGCTAGATTCCCTCTATTTTTTGAGAAATGAGCGTTTCCATTCTCCTTGGCCCTAGTTGCTACTATAAGTGCGAAATGCCGGCCAGACTGGGCCGATGCACAATTTTCTCTACACATGTGCGTTAGTTACCTTTCAAACCCTTACGTTCACTAGATGAATATATTTCCTACTTTCTATTTGAGTGAGACCACTTGATTCCAGTGTACTATGCGAGATCTGAGCGCTTCCGTTCTCCCTGGCATTTGCATTTAAGTTCCGATACTGACGTACCTGGCCAATGCACCATTTTCTCTATACATGTGCGTTGAATATTTTTCAAACCTTTTTAGCTGACTAGATTTATATATTTCCCACCTTCTGATCGAGTGAGACCGTTAGATTCCCTCTACTTTTTTGAGAAACGAGCGTTTCGTTCTCCCTGGCCCCACCTGCACTATAGGTGCGAAATGCGGCCAGACTGGCCGATGCACCATTTTCTCTACACATGTGCGTTAGTTACCTTTCAAACCCTTACGTTCACTAGATGAATATATTTCCTACCTTCTATTTGAGTGAGACCACTATATTCCGTGTACTATGCGAGATCTGAGGCTTTCGTTCTTCCCAGGCATTTGCACTCTAAGTTCCCATACTGGCCCGACCTAGGCCAATGCACCATTTTCCATATTACATATGCATTAGATTCCTTTCGAACCTTATTAAGCTCACTAGATTTTATATATTTCCCACCTTCTGATCGAGTGAGACCGTTAGATTCCCTCTACCTTTTGAGAAACGAGCGTTTCGTTCTCCTTGGCCCCTACTGCACTATGAGTGCGAAATGCCGCCAGACTGGCCGATGCACCATTTTCTCTACACATGTGCGTTAGTTACCTTTCAAACCCTTACGTTCACTAGATGAATTTATTTCTACCTTCTATGTGAGTGAGACCACTAGATTCCGTGTACTATGCGAGATCTGAGCGCTTCTGTTCTCCCTGGCATTTGCACTCTAAGTTCCCATACTGACCGACCTGGCAATGCACCATTTTCCATATACATATGCATTAGATTCCTTTCGAACCTTATTAGCTCACTAGATTTATATATTTCCCACCTTCTGATCGAGTGAGACCGCAAGATTCTCTCTACTTTTTGAGAATGAGCGTTTCCGTTCTCCTTGGCCCTAGTTGCACTATAAGTGCGAAATGCCGGCTAGACTGGCCGATGCACAATTTTCTCTACACATGTGCGTTAGTTACCTTTCAAACCTTACGTTCACTAGATGAATATATTTCCTACTTTCTTTTTGAGTGAGACCAACTAGATTCCGTGTACTATGCGAGATCTGAGCGCTTCCGTTCTCCGTGGCATTTGCATTTTAAGTTCCGATACTGACCGACCTGGCCATGCATCCATTTTCTCTATACATGTGCGTTGAATACATTTCAAACCTTTTTAGCTGACGTAGATTTTAAATATTTCCCACCGTCTGATCGAGTGAGACCGTTAGATTCCCTCTACTTTTTGAGAAACGAAGCGTTTTCCGTTCTCCTCTGGCCCCTACCTGCACTATAGTGCGAAATGCCGGCCAGACTGGCCGTATGCACCATTTCTCTACACATGTGCGTTAGTTACCTTTCAATACCCTTACGTTCACTAGATGAATTTATTTCCTACCTTCTATTTGAGTGAGACCACTAGATTCCGTGTATTATGCGAGATCTCAGCGGTTCCGTTCTTCCAGGCATTTGCACTCTAAGTTCCCATACTGACCGACCTGGCCAATGCACCACTTTCCATATACATATGCATTAGATTCCTTCCAAACCTTATTAGCTCACTAGATTTATATATTTCCCACCTTCTGATTGAGTGAGGCCGCTAGATTCTCTTGACTTTTGAGAAATGGGCGTTTCCGTTCTCCCTGGCCCCACCTTGCACTATAATGCGAAATGCCGGCCAGACTCGCCGATGCACCATTTTCTCTACACATGTGCGTTAGTTACCTTTCAAACCCTTACGTTCACTAGATGAATTTATTTCCTACCTTATATTTGAGTGAGACCACTAGATTCCGTGTACTATGCGAGATCTGAGCGCTTCCGTTCTCCCAGGCATTTGCACTCTAAGTTCCCATACTGACCGACCTGGCCAATGCACCACCTTCCATATACATATGCCTTAGATTCCTTCCGAACCTTATTAGCTCACTAGATTTATATATTTCCACCTTCTGATCGAGTGAGACCGCTAGATTCCTTTACTTTTTGAGAATGAGCGTTTCCGTTCTCCTTGGCCCTACTTGCACTATAAGTGCGAAATGCCGGCCAGACTGGCCGATGCACATTTTCTCTATACATGTGCGTTAGTTACCTTTCAAACCCTTACATTCACTAGATGAATTTATTTCCTACCTTCTATTTGAGTGAGACCACTAGATTCCGTGTACTATGCGAGATCTGAGCGCTTCCGTTCTCCCTGACATTTGCACTCTAAGTTCCCATACTGACCGACCTGGCCAATGCACCATTTTCCATATACATATGCATTAGATTCATTTCGAACCTTATTAGGTCACTAGATTTATATATTTCCCACCTTCTGATCGAATAAGACCGCTAGATTCCCTCTACTTTTTGAGAAATGAGCGTTTCCGTTCTCCTTGGCCCTACTTGCACTATAAGTGCGAAATGCCGGCCAGACTGGCCGATGCACCATTTTCTCTACACATGTGCGTTAGTTACCTTTCAAACCCTTACGTTCACTAGATGAATATATTTCCTACCTTCTATTTGAGTGAGACCACTAGATTCCGTGTACTATGCGAGATCTGAGCGCTTCCGTTCTCCCTGACATTTGCACTCTAAGTTCTCATACTGACCGACCTGGCCAATGCACCATTTTCCATATACATATGCATTAGATTCCTTTCGAACCTTATTAGCTCACTAGATTTATATATTTCCCACCTTCTGATCGAGTGAGACCGCTAGATTCCCTCTACTTTTTGAGAAATGAGCGTTTCCGTTCTCCTTGGCCCTAGTTGCACTATAAGTGCGAAATGCCGGCCAGACTGGCCGATGCACAATTTTCTCTACACATGTGCGTTAGTTACCTTTCAAACCCTTACGTTCACTAGATGAATATATTTCCTACTTTCTATTTGAGTGAGACCACTTGATTCCGTGTACTATGCGAGATCTGAGCGCTTCCGTTCTGCCTGGCATTTGCATTTTAAGTTCCGATACTGACCGACCTGGCCAATGCACCATTTTCTCTATACATGTGCGTTGAATACATTTCAACCTTTTATGCTGACTAGATTTATATTTTTGCCACCTTCTGATCAAGTGAGACTGTTAGATTCCCTCTACTTTTTGAGAAACGAGCGTTTCGGTTCTCCGTGGCCCCACCTGCACTATGAGTGCGAAATGCCGGCCAGACTGGCCGATGCACTATTTTCTCTACACATGTGCGTTACTTACCTTTCAATCCCTTACGTTCACTAGATGAATATATTTCCTACCTTATATTTGAGTGAGGACCACTAGTTTCCGTGTATTATGCGAGATCTGAGCGGTTTCCGTTCTCCCAGGTATTTGCACTCTAAGTTCCCATACTGACCGACCTGGCCAATGCACCACTTTCCATATACATATGCATTAGATTCCTTCCGAACCTTATTAGCTCACTATATTTATATATTTCCCACCTTCTGATCGAGTGAGACCGCTAGATTCCCTTTACTTTTTGAGAAATGAGCGTTTCCGTTCTACTTGGCCCTACTTGCACTATAAGTGCGAAATGCCGGCCAGACTGGCCGATGCACCATTTTCTCTACACATGTGCGTTAGTTACCTTTCAAACCCTTACGTTCACTAGATGAATTTATTTCCTACCTTCTTTTTGAGTGAGACCACTAGATTCCGTGTACTATGCGAGATCTGAGCGCTTCCGTTCTCCCTGGCATTTGCACTAAATCTATAATTTCCATGTCTGTACTCTTGCTTGTGAACTGGCCTTTGGCCTTGCTCTTGTGCTCGGATTGTGTGGTGACTTTGTGATCCACCCTGAGCTTTGCTTTGTCTTGCTTGACTGGTCTTGTGACCCCTTGTTCTCCCCCACTTTGCCTATGGGGGTGTGTCAGAACATGTCTATAGCTTATACTGCTGTGTAGACTGTAGTGGGGTATCCCATAGGGGGTACAACCCAGTTAGGGTTTCACATTTGTACTGCTTTCACTCATAGTTCACATCATTTCCTGCTTACTCATTTCACATGGTATAGAGCTAGGTCCCTCCAGGACCGAAATTTTTTTTTTTTGGGCCCACCGAAGCGCGCCCCCGAGGCGCGATTTTTTTTTAGCGACCCCTCGAGTCGCCCTCTCCCCTGCGGCCTCGCCGCCCACTCTGTCGCGGCCCCGCCCTGCTCCTTACGCGGCCCCGCCGCCTGCTCCTTACGCGGCCCCGCCCCGGCCCTTACGCGGCCCCGCGTCGCCTCCTACGCGACCCTTACGCGGCCACCGCGCCGGCCCCTTACGCGGGCCCTTACGCGGCCCTTACGCGGCCACGCCGCCGGCTCCTTACGCGGCCCCGCGCCGGCCCCTTACGCGGCCCTTACGCGGCCCTTACGCGGCCACGCCGCCAGCTCCTACGCGGCCCCGCGCCGGCTTCTTACGCGGGCCCGTCCCCGGCCCCTACGCGGCTCCGCGCCGGCTCCTACGCGGCTCTTACGCGGCCCCGCGCCGGTCCCCCCCCCCTTACGCGGCCCTGACGCCGGCCACGCCACCGGCTCCTACGCGGCCCCGCGCCGGCTCTCACGCGGCCCCGCAGCTGGCTCCTACTCGGCCCCGCAGCCGGCCCCTTAAGCGGCCCCACCGCCGGCCTCCTACTTGGCCCTGCCCCGGCTCCTATCACGGCCCCGCCCAGGCTCCTTCGCGGCCCTGCCCCGGCTCCTACGCGGCCCTACCGCCGGCCCTGACGCGGCCCCGCCCCGTCTCACTTCTACGCGACCCGAGCCGCCTGTCGCCGAGCAGCCCGGGACCCGAACCGCCCTGCAGCCGAGCCGCCCGGGAGCCGAGCCGCCCTGCACCCGAGCCGCCCTGCAGCCGAGCCGCCCGGGAGCCGAGCCGCCCTGCACCCGAGCCGCCCTGCCGTCGAGCCGCCCGGGAGCCGATCCGCTGTACACCCGAGCCGCCCGGTCGCCGTTCTGCTTTTCTGTCGAGCTGCGCGACCTGCCCTGCCTGGTGAGCACAGTCCCACTGTCACTGCGTGCTCTCCCCCCTACTGCTTGCACTGCTTCACAGTCGTCGTCATGGCTACCCCTAGTGTCCTAGCTTTTGACGCTGAGGGTCGCGCCATTGATTTTGAGGTCTGGCTAGACGACCTGCAGCTGTTCTTACAGTGCGACAGGGCTGATGACCTTTCTCTCTTTGACCTCACCTCTGGCGCCTCTCCTGCTCCTGCTGCTGATGCTGATCCCGCTGTCCGCTCTAAGTGGGCCACCCGCGATGCTGCTGCACGTCTTGCTGTGCGTCGCCACCTCCCTACCTCTGAGCGTGCGCACTTTAGTCAGTACAAGAGTGCTCAGACCTTGTACGACGCTGTAGTTGCGCGCTACTCCTCCCTGCCACTGCTGCACTGAGCCGTCTCATGCTTCCCTACCTCTTTCCTGACCTCTCTGCCTTTCCCACTGTCGCTGACCTCATTACGCACCTCCGCACTAGTGACACTCGCTACCGCGCCGCCCTTCCTGCTGAGTTCTGCGCTAGGAACCCCCCCTCCCATATACATCGCTCTCTACTACGTAGTCGCGCGCCTCCCTGACTCCCTTCGCGTCGTCAGGGACCACTTTCTCGCAGTCTGTCCCACCACTCTCACCGTCGACCTCCTCGAGAAGGCCCTCCTTGCAGCGGAGAAGAGCATAGTCGCTGTAGGTGCTTCTCGTGGTGACCCTCGCACCCCCATCTTTGAGGGGTGCTCTCCTTCCCCCTTGCTGCCCTCTGTTGCCTCTGCTGCTGCTGCCGACCTGCTTGGTCTTGAGTCGGTCGGCGCGGCGTCTGCCCCTAGTGGGAGACGTCGCTCCAGCAAGGGCAAGGGAGGCAAGGGCGCGGGTGGAGCTGGGGGGGGCGGTGGCGGTGGCGGCGGTGGCGGCGGAGGGAGTGGGGGTGGCGGCGGGACTAGTGGCGGGGGTGGTGGTGGTGGTGGTGGCAGCAGCGGCGGAGACGGTGGTGGTGGTGCCAGCGGTGGTGGTGGAGGCAGCGGCGGAGGTGGAGGCGGCGGAGGTGGAGGCAGTGGAGGCGGCAGCGGCGGAGGCAGTAGTGGTGGAGGAGGTGGAGCTGGTCGGGGTGGTACCCAGCAGCGTAGCGGCGGTGGTGGTGGCCAGCGCTCGCACCGGCAGCAGCAGCAGCGCTCACGGGACATCCCTTCGCCTCAGCAGCTTCGTGAGTGGTACGCTGGGCGTCAGAGGGGTGGGGGTACTGGTCCCTGCACCTACGTTCTTCGTTCCGGCGACCGCGCGGGTGAGCAGTGTGGGGGTGCCCACGCCACCCAGCGCTGCTTTGGCCGCCTGACGGACGCTTGGCGTCAGCAGTTCCCTGGGGCTAGTGAGATCCCTCGCTGGGATGAGCTTCTCAGGGCTGGTGTAGCGATCTTTGATCTTGATTTTGATGCTATCCTTACTGCTATGTATGTTGTGGATTATAGTGAGGAGAATGAGGGTTACCGGTGTTTCCAGCCCGACCCGGGCATTGGTACTGCTGCGCTAGGTACTTGTGAGGCTGCTGCTCTAGGTGCCAGTGCGTCTGCGCTCTCAGGTACTGGTGAGACTGCGTTCTCAGGTACTGAGTCGTCCTCGTCCTCCCTCACTTTCACACTTGACTCCGGAGCTTCTCGCTCCTTCTTTCGAGACCGCACTACCCTTTCGCCGCTCGCCAGGCCAGTTGCGGTCTCCCTTGCTGACCCCTCTGGGGGTCCTGTCCTGTCTCACTTCTCCACTGTCCTCCCGTGTCCGGCTGCCCCTTCGGGCACCCTGTCGGGTCTGTACCTTCCCTCGTTCTCTACGAACTTGGTGAGTGGAGCGGACCTGCAGGATGGGGGTGTTCACCAGTTCACTCCTGCGCGTCAGCGGGTGACCCACTGCACGGAGGCTCGCACAGGCCGACACCTGGCCACGTTCTCGCGTCGGCCGGGGTCGAGTCTCTACACCCTGACCGTTGAGTCTCCTCCTGTCCCTGCGTCTGGTCAGGTGGCTGCGTCGGGTCAGGTACTTGCTGCTGCGTCCCGGTCAGGTCCTGAGTCTGCCCCCTGTTCTTGTCGCCTCCTGTCTCACGAGACTCTCCTGTGGCACCACCGTCTTGGCCACCCCTCCTTGCCCCGTCTTCGGAGCATGGCTTCCCGTGTCCTTGTCTCTGGTCTTCCCCAGTCCCTCCCTCCTCTCCCCTCCGGGCCAGGACCTTCCTGTGTCCCCTGTGTCGAGGGTCGCCTCCGGGCTACTCCTCACTCCTCCCACTTCCCCCCGACAGAGGCTCCCCTGCAGACGCTTCACATGGATGTGTGGGGCCCAGCCCCCGTCCGTGGGCAGGGTTACGAGCGCTACTTCCTGTTGGTGGTTGACGACTACTCGCGTTACACCACAGTCCTCCCCTTGCGCAGCAAGGGTGCGGTCACTGAGGTACTGATCGACTGGATCCGCGAGGCTCGTCTCCAGCTCAGGAAGAGCTTCGGCTCGGACTTTCCTGTTCTGCGTCTGCACTCTGACAGAGGCGGAGAGTTCTCTTCTCGCCTTCTGCGAGACTACTGTCGTGCACGGGGGATCCGCCAGACCTTCACGCTTCCGGACTCACCACAGCAAAATGGGATTGCTGAGCGCCGCATTGGCATGGTCATGGATGTCGCTCGTACGTCCATGATGCATGCGGCTGCCCCCCATTTTCTGTGGCCGTTTGCGGTGAGGTACGCGGCGCATCAGCTCAACCTTCACCCCCGGGTCTCTCGGCCTGCGATGTCCCCAGTCTTGCTGTGGACAGGGAAGGTTGGCGATGCGTCTGTGTTCCGTGTCTGGGGATCTCGGGCGTTTGTCCGCGACTTGTCTGCGGACAAGCTGTCCCCTCGTGCTGCTCCCTGTGTCTTTCTTGGCTTCCCCACTGACGCCCCAGGGTGGCAGTTTTACCACCCCTCCTCTCGTCGTGTTCTGTCCTCCCAGGACGTCACGTTCGACGAGTCAGTCCCCTTCTACCGTCTCTTCCCCTACCGCACTCCTTCCCTCCCCCCTTCCCCGGACTTCCTTGTGCCGGTTCCCCCCCCGGTAGACCCCCCTCCCCCCTCAGGTTCCTGCCCCCTCAGGTGTGTCCCAGGTAGACGCCGTTGACCCGGTCGAGGTTACTGGTGACTCTGGTCCTGCTGCGGGTGCTGAGCCTGGGGGTGCTGACTCTGGGGGTACTGTGCGCGGGGGTGCTGTGCCTGGGGGTGCTACTGCTGGGGGTGCTGGGCCTGAGGGTGCTACTGCGGTGGCTGCGGAGCCTGGGGGTGCTGAGCCGGGGGGTGCTGTGCCTGGAGGTGCTGGGTCTGGGGGTGCTGGGTCGGGAGCTGCTGAGCCTGGGGGTGCTGAGCTGGGAGCTGCTGAGCCTGGGGGTGCTGCGTCTGGAGCTGCTGAGCCTGGGGGTTTCTCCTGCTGCTGCGTCTCGCCGGGAGCCCCTCTCTCCACAGGAGCTGCGCGAGTGGTTCGCTCGCCGCTGGAGGCGTGCTGCTGAGTCTGGAGGTGCTGCTGGAGCTGGAGCTGGAGCTTCTTCGATCGTCGAGGGTGCGGGTGCTGCCGGTCCCGGAGCTGCTGGACCTGCGGGTCCTCCTGGAGCTGGAGCTGCTGAGGGCGTTCGTACTGAGCCTACTGCTGTTGGTCCTGCCGCTGGAGGTGTGGGTGGCGCTGGTGCTGTCGCTGAGGGTGCTGGTGCTGTCCCTGCTGAGACTGGAGCTGCCGCGCGGCCTCGGCCGTACTTCGTTCCGCTCCTTCAGCAGGTTCTTGGTCTTTCTCCTCCAGTAGAGGGTCCACCGCCTGTCCAGTCGCAGTCCCTACTGGAGCCTTCCTCTCCACTGCCTGCTCCCTCTCCTTACACTGGTCCTACTGGTGGTCTTGCTAAGCGTCGTGAGCCTGCGTCTCGCCCCGCGTCGCCTGTTCGTGCTGCTCGCGCTAGTGGTCGCGGTTCGCGTCAGCGTCCTCCTCCTGTCCCTGGCACGCACCGGATGTCTCTGCGTCCGTCCACTGCTCCTCTGCGTGCCCCTTTGCCTTCTCCTCCTGAGTCCTCTCTTCCTGCGCTTGCCGACCCTGAGTCGGACTCTCTTCGCGCTGCGAGTCCTACTGTCACGCGTCTGCTTGCTACTGTCGTCACTGACCCCTCTTTTGAGTCCACTGCTGCGTCTGCTCTAGTCGCTGAGCTCGTCGACTTTGCTGCTCGCTGTCGTCTCGGCTACGCTGCTAGTCTTGTTGCTGAGTCTGAGTCTTTCTGTCCTCCGTCCGTCGGGGGTGAGTGTGCTCTTGGCACGGACGTCCTAGAGGACAGGCAGGAGGAGTTACAGTGTCTAGCGGCTGCTTCACCTCATCTCGCGTCTGTACTGCTTGCCCCTGAGGGAGACCCGGATGCACTAGACATCCCGACTCCGCGTTCTTACGCGGAGGCCGTAGAGGGCCCCTACTCCTCTCAGTGGCAGGCAGCCATGGATGCAGAGATGGCTTCCTGGAAGTCCACAGGCACCTACGTTGACGCGGTTCCCCCTCCTGGGGCGAACATCGTCAGTGGCATGTGGATCTTCAGGGTGAAGCGGCCGCCGGGCTCTCCACCTGTCTTCAAGGCACGGTACGTTGCTCGTGGCTTCAGTCAGCGGCAGGGAGTTGACTACTTTCAGACCTTCTCTCCCACCCCGAAGATGACTACTCTTCGGGTGCTGCTGCACATAGCCGCTCAGCGCGACTACGAGCTTCACTCTCTCGACTTCAGCACTGCGTTCTTGCAGGGTAGCCTGCACGAGGAGATCTGGCTTCGCCGTCCACCTGGCTTCACTGGGACTTTCCCTCCTGGCACCCAGTGGAGCCTCAGACGGCCAGTCTACGGTCTCCGCCAGGCACCGCGTGAGTGGCACGACACACTGAGGACTATGCTTGCGGCTCTTGGGTTTGCTCCTTCTACTGCTGACCCGTCGCTGTTTCTTCGCACCGACACTTCCCTGCCGCCGTTCTACATCCTCGTGTACGTCGACGACTTGGTCTTTGCCACAGCGGACACTGCTGGACTCGCCTACGTGAAGTCCGAGCTGCTGAAGAGACACACGTGCACAGACCTGGGTGAACTGCGCAGCTACCTTGGCTTGCAGATCACTCGGGACAGAGCACGCCGCACCATTACCTTGACTCAGTCACACATGGTGCAGCAGGTCCTTCAGCGCTTCGGCTTCACGTACTCCTCGCCTCGGGCCACTCCTCTGCCTACTCGCCACTCACTCTCAGCTCTGCCTTCGGATGAGTCCGTAGAGTCGAGTGGTCCGTATGCAGAGCTTGTTGGCTGCCTCATGTACCTGATGACCTGCACACGACCTGACCTTGCATACCCTCTGAGCATTCTTGCACGCTATGTTGCTCCTGGGAGACACAGACCGGAGCACATGGCTGCAGCGAAGAGGGTATTGCGCTACCTCTGCAGTACGTCAGGCATGGGGCTAGTGCTTGGAGGGCGGAGTCCAGTGGTCCTTACCGGCCACGCGGACGCTTCTTGGGCTGACGACCAGGCTACGCAGCGGTCGTCACAGGGTTACACCTTCAGCCTTGGTTCCGGCTCTGTCTCGTGGCGGTCTACTCGCTCGTCTTCGGTTCTCGGCTCCAGTTGTGAGGCTGAGATCTACGCCGGAGCCATGGCTGCACAGGAGCTTCGCTGGCTCACCTACCTGCTGACTGACCTTGGAGAGCCGCCTTGTTCTCCTCCAGTGCTGTACGTAGACAACAAGGCTATGCTGGCCTTGTGTCGAGAGCAGCGCTTGGAGCACAGAACGAAGCACATTGCTCTCCGCTACTTCCTTGCTCGTGAGTTGCAGCAGCGTGGTCAGTTGCGACTTGCGTACGTGGCCTCTGAGGCCAACACTGCTGATGTGTTCACCAAGGCACTTGCGCCTTGTGACCATCAGCGCTTCTGCACCCAGCTGGGTCTTGTGCCTGTCTTGCCTCACTTGCTCTCCTCTTGACTTTACTTGTACTGTGACATATATATATACCTGCTCTTGCTTGTCTAGTTTTATATATATGTCTGTACTCTTGCTTGTGAACTGGCCTTTGGCCTTGCTCTTGTGCTCGGATTGTGTGGTGACTTTGTGATCCACCCTGAGCTTTGCTTTGTCTTGCTTGACTGGTCTTGTGACCCCTTGTTCTCCCCCATTTTGCCTATGGGGGTGTGTCAGAACATGTCTATAGCTTATACTGCTGTGTAGGCTGTAGTGGGGTATCCCATAGGGGGTACAACCCAGTTAGGGTTTCACATTTGTACTGCTTTCACTCATAGTTCACATCATTTCCTGCTTACTCATTTCACAGTTCCCATACTGACCGACCTGGCCAATGCACCATTTTCCATATACATATGCTTTAGATTCCTTTCGAACCTTATTAGCTCACTAGATTTATATATTTCTCACCTTCTGATTGAGTGAGACCGCTAGATTCCCTCTACTTTTTGAGAAATGAGCGTTTTCGTTCTTCTTTGCCCTAGTTGCACTATAAGTGCGAAATGCCGGCCAGACTCGCCGATGCACAATTTTCTCTACACATGTGCGTTAGTTACCTTTCAAACCCTTACGTTCACTAGATGTATATATTTCCTACTTTCTATTTGAGTGAGACCACTTGATTCCGTGTACTATGCGAGATCTGAGCGCTTCCGTTCTCCCTGGCATTTGCACTAAGTTCCGATACTGACCGACCTGGCCAATGCACCATTTTCTCTATACATGTGCGTTGAATACATTTCAAACCTTTTTAGCTGACTGGATTTATATATTTCCCACCTTCTGATCGAGTGAGACCGTTAGATTCCCTCTACTTTTTGAGAAACGAGCGTTTCCGTTCTCCCTGGCCCCACCTGCACTATGAGTGCGAAATGCCGGCCAGACTGGCCGATGCACCATTTTCTCTACACATGTGCGTTAGTTACCTTTCAAACCCTTACGTTCACTAGATGAATATATTTCCTACCTTATATTTGAGTGAGACCACTAGATTCCGTGTATTATGCGAGATCTGAGCGGTTCCGTTCTCCCAGGTATTTGCACTCTAAGTTCCCATACTGACCGACCTGGCCAATGCACCACTTTCCATATATATATGCATTAGATTCCTTCCGAACCTTATTAGCTCACTAGATTTATATATTTTCCACCTTTTGATCGAGTGAGACCGTTAGATTCCCTCTACTTTTTGAGAAATGAGCATTTCCGTTCTCCTTGGCCCTACTTGCACTATAAGTGCGAAATGCCGGCCAGACTGGCCGATGCACCATTTTCTCTACACATGTGCGTTAGTTACCTTTCAAACCCTTACGTTCACTCAATTAATATATTTCCTATTTTATATTTGAGTGAGACCACTAGATTCTGTGTACTATGCGAGATCTGAGCGGTTCTGTTCTCCTAGGCATTTGCACTTTAAGTTCCCATACTGACCGACCTCGCCAATGCACCATTTTCTATATACATGTGCATTAGATGCCTTTCAAACCTTATTAGCTCACTAGATTTATAAATTTCCCACCTTCTGATCAAGTGAGACCGCTAGATTCCCTTTACTTTTTGAGAAATGAGCGTTTTCGTTCTCCTTGGCCCTACTTGCACTATAAGTGCGAAATGCCGGCCAGACTGGCCGATGCACCATTTTCTCTACACATGTGCATTAGTTACCTTTCAAACCCTTACGTTCACTAGATGAATATATTTCCTACTTTCTATTTGAGTGAGACCACTTGATTCCGTGTACTATGCGAGATCTGAGCGCTTCCGTTCTCCCTAGCATTTGCATTTTCTGTTCCGATACTGACCGACATGGCCAATGCACCATTTTCCAGGTACATATGCATTATATTCCTTTCGAACCTTATTAGCTCACTAGATTTATATATTTCCCACCTTCTGATCGAGTGAGACCGCTAGATTCCCTCTACTTTTTGAGAAACGAGAATTTCCGTTCTCCCTGGCCCCACTTGCACTATAAGTGCAAAATGCCGGCCAGACTGGCCGATGCACCATTTTCTCTACACATGTGCCTAAGTTAACTTTCAGACCCTTACGTTCAATCGATTAATATATTTCCTACCTTATATTTGAGTGAGACCACTAGATTCCGTGTACTATGCGAGATCTGAGCGCTTTCGTTCTCCTAGGAATTTGCACTCTAAGTTCCCATACTGACCGACCTGACCAATGCACCATTTTGCATATACATATGCATTAGATTCCTTTCCAACCTTTTTAGCTCACTAGATATATATATTTCCCACCTTCTGATCGAGTGAGACCGCTAGATTCCCTTTACTTTTTGAGAAATGGGCGTTTCCGTTCTCCTTGGCCCTACTTGCACTATAAGTGCGAAATGCCGGCCAGACTGGCCGATGCACATTTTTCTCTACACATGTGCGTTAGTTACCTTTCAAACCCTTACTTTCACTAGATGAATTTATTTCCTACCTTCTATTTGAGTGAGACCACTTGATTCCGTGTACTATGCGAGTTCTGAGCGCTTCCGTTCTCCCTGGCATTTGCATTTTAAGTTCCGATACTGACCGCACTGGTCAATGCACCATTTTCTCTATACATGTGCGTTAAATACATTTCAAACCTTTTTAGCTGACTAGATTTATATATTTTCCACCTTCTGATCAAGCGAGACCGTTAGATTCCCTCTACTTTTTGAGAAACGAGCGTTTCCATTCTCCCTGGCCCCACTTGCACTATGAGTGCGAAATGCCGGCCAGACTGGCCGATGCACCATTTTCTCTACACATGTGCGTTAGTTACCTTTCAAACCCTTACGTTCACTAGATTAATATATTTCCTACCTTATATTTGAGTGAGACCACTAGATTTCGTGTATTATGCGAGATCTGAGCGGTTCCGTTCTCCCAGGCATTTGCACTCTCAGTTGCCATACTGACCGACCTGGCCAATGCACCACTTTCCATATACATATGCATTAGATTCCTTTCCAACCTTTTTAGCTCACTAGATTTATATATTTCCCACCTTCTGATCGAGTGAGACCGCTAGATTCCCTCTACTTTTTGAGAAATGAGCGTTTCCGTTCTCCTTGGCCCTACTTGCACTATAAGTGCGAAATGCCGACCAGACTGGCCGATGCACCATTTTCTCTACACAGGTGCGTTAGTTACCTTTCAAACCCTTACGTTCACTAGATGAATATATTTCCGACTTCTACTTGAGTGAGACCACTTGATTCCGTGTACTATGCGAGATTAGAGCGCTTCCGTTTTCCGTGGCATTTGCATTTGAAGTTCCGATACTGACCGACCTGGCCAATGCACCATTTTCTCTATACGTGTGCGTTGAATACATTTCAAACCTTTTTAGCTGACTAGATTTAGATATTTCCCACCTTCTGATCGAGTGAGACCGTTAGATTCCCTTTACTTTTTGAGAAATGAGCGTTTCCGTTCTCCTTAGCCCTACTTGCACTATAAGTGCGAAATGCCGGCCAGACTGGCCGATGCACCATTTTCTCTACACATGTGCGTTAGTTACCTTTCAAATCGTTACGTTCTTGAGATGAATTTATTTCCTACCTTATATTTGAGTGAGACCACTAGATTCCGTGTACTATGCGAGATCTGAGCGCTTCCGTTCTCCCTGGCATTTGCACTCTAAGTTCCCATACTGACCGACCTGGCCAATGCACCATTTTCCATATACATATGCATTAGATTCCTTTCAAACCTTATTAGCTCACTAGATTTATATATTTCCCAGCTTCTGATCGAGTGAGACCTCTAGATTCCCTTTACTTTTTGAGAAATGAGCGTTTCCGTTCTCCTTGGCCCTACTTGCACCATAAGTGCGAAATGCCGGCCAGACTGGCCGATGCACCATTTTCTCTACACATGTGCGTTAGTTACCTTTCAAACCCTTACGTTCTTTAGATGAATTTATTTCCTACCTTATATTTGAGTGAGACCACTAGATTCCGTGTACTATGCGAGATCTGAGCGCTTCCGTTCTCCCTGGCATTTGCACTCTAAGTTCCCATACTGACCGACCTGGCCAATGCACCATTTTCCATATACATATGCATTAGATTCCTTTCGAACCTTATTAGCTCACTAGATTTATATATTTCCCACCTTCTGATCGAGTGAGACCGCTAGATTCCCTCTACTTTTTGAGAAATGAGCATTTCCGTTCTCCTTGGCCCTAGTTGCACTATAAGTGCGAAATGCCGGCTAGACTGGCCGATGCACAATTTTCGTTACACATGTGCGTTAGTTACCTTTCAAACCCTTACGTTCACTAGATGAATATATTTCCTACTTTCTATTTGAGTGAGACCACTTGATTCCGTGTACTATGCGAGATCTGAGCGCTTCCGTTCTCCCTGGCATTTGCATTTTAAGTTCTGATACTGACCGACCTGGCCAATGCACCATTTTCTCTATACATGTGCATTGAATACATTTCAAACCTTTTTAGCTGACTAGATTTATATATTTCCCACCTTGTGATCGAGTGAGACCGTTAGATTCCCTCTACTTTTTGAGAAACGAGCGTTTCCGTTCTCCCTGGCCCCACCTGCACTATGAGTGCGAAATGCCAGCCAGACTGGCCGATGCACCATATTCTCTAAACATGTGCGTTAGTTACCTTTCAAACCCTTACGTTCACTAGATGAATATATTTCCTACCTTATCTTTGAGTGAGACCACTAGATTCCGTGTATTATGCGAGATCTGAGCGGTTCCGTTCTCCCAGGCATTTGCACTGTAAGTTCCCATACTGACCGACCTGGCCAATGCACCACTTTCCATATACATATGCATTAGATTCCTTTCGAACCTTATTAGCTCACTAGATTGATATATTTCCCACCTTCTGATCGAGTGAGACCGCTAAATTCCCTCTTATTTTTGAGAAATGAGCGTTTCCGTTCTCCTTGGCCCTAGTTGCACTATAAGTGCGAAATGCCGGCCAGA